AATTATGCTAGATGATTGGAAACATTAGTTGTTTGCATAGCACAAGAGGGAAGAACAAATGGCTCCCATCGGAGTTGATAGTGCTAGGATCTGTAACAGCTCAAGAAACTTTTATAGTGCTCTCCTTACAAAGCTCACTTTATTAATTAACTCTTTCTGAACACTCCAGAGTCCACATCTTTCCAAAAATTAATATTAGCCCACCAATCTTCAGAGGTAAGGTAATGGTACTAATTAAAAGTTCATCTCAATAAAGCAAGTTAATTTAAGATAGGACAACCAGGTCTCAAGTCTATTTCTAACAAGGCCAGGGGCTTCGAACCAAGGTCATCCGGGGCGTAGTCTAGTATAATACCAACTGAACTACCGAAGCACTTAGTCTACACCTCGGTTTTCCGTACACAATATCAACCCAACAATAATTTGACTCTGGTAAACGACAACAATGGAGAGTGCACTGCTCAAATACTTGAATTGGTTGTATAAAAATGTAATTCTTCACCCTCAAAATCAATCAGTCAGACCCCCAAAAACGCAAGGCAAGTGAAGGAAGTTTGTCTTTGGGTTTGAGCAGTGAGTGTGCAAATTGACAATATAAATTGCAGAAAAATTGATCTGACATACACAGACACTATCAAATCATATTTCTCTGGCACACCAAATTTGCAAGCTCTACACAGTACAAACTTCATATATATATATATTATATATATATACAATGTATGTGACAAAGCTCCTTTTGTTTACCAGGTACACAAACTACAGTACTGTCAATAGTTTGCCCTGGTCTTTTAAGCAGCCAGTGTTATGTAATTTGGCAATAAACATTTTACACTCCTGTCAACACTAGATCATTTAGGAAGCAAGTGGTTTTGACCCTGTTTGTCATGTCCCACTGTGATTGTCCCGAAAGAGCTGGCATTTTTTAAAAATGTGCCTTGCATGGAAGCATTTTATTAGGTGCAGAAAGCTGCCGATTTGGAACAAACTGTTAATTTTGCCGAGAACACTTATCTGTCTACATTGACTCGCATTTTAAAATCACAAATTTACCAATATCAATTAATTAAAGGCAAAGTTCAGCTCCCTTCCACCCTTCTTTCTTTTCATACCTTTCCCAAAAGTTTAAACTCTATTTTGGAGATAAAAAAGAATTTGAAATAAGAAGCAAAGGGCACAAGTTGAAGCAAAAAAGGAAACATGATAAGGAACAAGTCTGCCTTTCACAATGGTCAAAACAAAAAGTGCTAAATATTAAAAACGAAATATGTGACAATGCAAATAGCACATGGAACATAATTTTAAATTTTCAAATCCACACAGACAATACTATTCCCCGTCTTACCAATTTTGATGTGAGGACTTTGTAGTTTTCTTGCAACAAATGAAAATCTGAACATTTATTTTAAAATGTCAAGATTTACCTGTCATTTTTAAAATCTCAGTTGAAGCTTTGTACCCTAGCAGACTACTTCACTGCAGTAGAGATATTGGATGAAGAGTTAAAAACTACTAAGGAATGACTAGAAATAACTCCACATGATTTGCACTTATTCCTAACTCTCCCCCCCCCCTTCCCACCCCCACCCCCACAATTTAGATAATTTAGGACCCATTTTGACTCAGCCTGTCAAGGCCAACCCACCTTGGGAGGGATTTCATGCCCCAGCAGAAAGACAGAGATACTTAATAAAACTACTCCCCCAATGGGAATCTCAGACCTCTATACGACGGCGAGGCCCTAAACTGCTACACTACAGACAATTGTGATTCACACCTTGAACTTTCTCACAAATGTGTTGCTGAAGGTCATACTCAAATGTAATAAGAGCGCGAACAGTTTTTTGTCTTGATTTTACACTGTGAACAAAATACAAATCAAAGGGCTCATACCACAAGGCGATCAGTTTCAATAGCACTAAGCAAAAATAAGGCAAACAATTTTAATTTCCCCTCTATATGAAAATTCTTTTTTAAAAGTAACAAGCAATTCAACTTTCAAGTGTGTCCACATATGTTTCTACCTTTTCTGTAAAGCCAGGAAAAACTTCCCACCGGGACAATGAAGCTTCACTTTTGAAGACTCTTACCCGAAACTGTAATTGTATGCCCCTCATTAACATAATCCAAATCATTTGGAGGTGGGCTACTTTGAAACTGCCTGCTGAAGCCAACCTGGGCTGAGAGAGATGTCCCCAAAGACAGACAGATATACTTGATAAACTGGAAAACAAAAAAACCCCAAAAAACAAAAAAACTCCAAAACTGGAATTGACATCACACCTTCAGTGTGGGATGGTAAAGTGCGGTGTTGCAGTTTTTAATAAATGGTACTAAATTCATATGATTTTGCTGAGTATGCATAACCGCAACGCCATTCGGGCCACTTTTCGCAGTTGATGTAAATTTGACAATACCCCATGTTGGTCTAGGACAAGTGCACCAATTTTTAGGACAAGTTAAGCCAATTTCAGCAGAAACAGCCCAAATATGTCCCAAAGCTACCTCAAATTCCCTTGAGATGAAATTGGTGGTGATTTATTTTTCCTCCTTAGAACGATAAGAGATGTCGATCGAGAAGGGTGGACCCCAATATGACACAGCTGACAAACGATGGTGACCCTGTGATGAAAAATGAATGTTGGAATGCTTGCCCGGATCACCACCAACTCCTACTGGCTTCAATTTACCAAAGAAATTACTATGAAAGTTTTCTTCTTTTCCTTCTTCGCCTTTTTCAACAATTTTATTTCTCTTCTACTCCTGCATTCCACTGCTACAGCCAATTAATTTTTCAACCTGCTATGCAACAGACTTTTTGTACAAGACCCACATTTTCCAACTTTTAGGGCCTCATACTTTTAATGTACTTAATCGCTACTTTGACTTGAGGCAACATGACACTTCTATGAAAACCACAACTTGTGATTTTTAAAGAAAAGATTGAGCCTAAACTTTTCCCCCTGAAAGTGAAAGGGAAAAAAGGGGGTAAATGGTCATATACCACAAGGTCTGTGATCCGAATTTATCTCACCATAGGAAAATTCTTCTATCAAAAGACCACAGGGAACATGTTACATAACACTGATATGTTAACACTGACTTTAAGGGTACAGTTATGGCCATACATGATATGAATGACAAAACTGATTTACCCTGAGAGCTGGTGTACAATTCATTTTTTTTAAAAATCTTTATGCATATTTTTAAGATAAACAACACAAACTTGAAACAAATCTTCACGTGCAATGTTAATTATCATTATATATATATACAATGTACTTGCTGAATAGTTATTCCAAAGCCATATCAA